AATTAGTTTATAAATAAATTGAGTGGAAATGTATGAAGTAGAAGTAAAAAAACAGGCTAAAAATAATTACTCAAGTACAGAAAATCAAAATTTCTACTGTACTTCATGACTCTGAGTTTACACAATATTTTGCATTATGCCTATTGCGTAATCTATCACATTGACAATAAATTTGTGATATATCGTGCAGCTCTACATCACATGGTGCTACCTGCAGTAATAATAATTGACAGCTGTTTTTATACTGATTGATTGCACACTGTACGGTTTTGCCCAGCCCTAACTGACGGGTTCAGGATGAGATTGAGGAACAAGTTTTGGAGTTGCCCTCTCACCCTACCCCCTAACCCTAACCTGTAGCTTTTTCTGTAAACTAGCATGATCTGATTTGTTATGTATGGAAGTTTTGTTGTGATTTAATGAATTTCCATAATTAATTAGGGAAAAAAAACAATCAGCCGTCATCAGGGGATTCTTTAGAATAAAGCCAGTAGCAGAGCGAGAAGAGAATCTCCCAGGAGATGGAGGAGGGCAGCAGTGAGTCAGATGATAAAACATCAATAATTAATCTTGTCAGATTCAAATCCCCCCCCTTCTGCTTTGAGCTTTGCCTTGTTTGTTTACATCAGGACCTTCTCGTGGTCCCCACACTGTCCACATTAAAGGGGCAGCTGTAAACGGCCGGGGCCAGATCTTAAGCAATTTTTATTCTTTTGCTCAAAACAGATAAAATAGCCGTTGCACAATCTTTGCCTCTCATGCATTCGTGAAAGCAGCATAAACAAAACTTGAAAGCTGTGACGATCATGATTGCTGTGCTTTGCGGTGATTGGACGGCTGAAGTGTTGAGTCTTGGCAGAGAGGAGGACGTGAGCTCTTATCACCGCCTGCCTGCAGCGGGGTGCACAGATACATGGACGGAGGTGGTCTTCCTGTCAGTTTTCAAGCAGGATTTCCTTTAGTCTGTCCCTCTGCTGGCCTTTTGGCCTCTGACTTGATCCAAGAGCACGGCTACCTGCCAAAACTCTGGCCTTTAGCAGAACCTTTGGACAGAGTTAGAAAGTAACTAAGTACAAATACTTCTTTACTGTACTTAAGTAGAATTTTTGGGTACTCGTACTTTACTTGAGTAATTATTTTTCTGCCTACTTTTTACTTCTACTTCTTACATTTTCACACAATTATCTGTACTTTCTACTCCTTACATTTAAAAAAGGCAAGAAGTAGAAAGTTACTTTTATTTTTGCTTGTTTTCATTCCAGCTTGTTATTGTAAAAAATAAATACTGTCCATATAAATTGTGCCTCCTAGATAGAGTGAATTTAATTGTGGTTGAATGAGAAGTATAAATATATTCTGATACTGTATTAGTTTGTACACAAACAAATTATGTCACAATGGACATAGCAGACACATGTGGCCTAGTACAAAGACACATGTGGCGGTATAGACAGATACAGCCGGTAAAATAAGTATTGAACACATCAACATTTTTCTCAGTAAATATATTACTAGAGGTG